TTTGTGGGATGTGAGCATCGCTGGCTGGCCAGCATTTCTTGCCCATCTTGGTGGTGGTGAGCTGCCTTCTTGAACTGCTGCAGTCCTCCTGCTGTGGGTTGACCCACAATGCTATTAGTGAGGGAATGCCATGATTTTGACCCAGTGACAGTGAAGGAACAGCAATATATTTCCAAGTCAGAATGGTGAGTGACTTGGAGGGGAGCTTGGAGGTGGTGGTGTTCCCATATATCTGCTGCCTTTGTCCTTCTAGATGGAAGTGGCTGTGGGTTTGGAAGGTGCTGTCTGAGGATCTTTGGTGACTTTCTGCAGTGCATTTTGTAGACAGTACACACTGCTGCTACTGAGCGTCGGTGGTGGAGGGTGTGAATGCTTGTAGATGCAGTGCCAATCAAGCGGGCTGCTTTGTCCTGGATGGTGTCAAGCTTCTTGAGTGTTGTTGGAGCTGCACTCATCCAGGCAAGTGGGGAGTATTCCATCACACTCCTGACTTGTGCCTTGTAGATGGTGGACAGGCTTTGAGGAGTCAGGAGATGAGTTACTTGCCGCAGTATTCCCAGCTTCTGCCTACAATTGTAGCTACTGTGTAAATGTGGTGAGTCCAGTTGAGTTTCTGGTCAATGGTAGCCCCCAAGATGTTGATAATGATGGTAACACCATTGAATGACAAGGGGCGGTGGTTAGACTGTCTCTTATTGGTGATGGTCATAGCCTGGCATTTGTGTGGCACGAATGTCACTTGCCACTTGTCAGCCCAAGCCTGGATATTGTCCAGATCCGGTTGTATGTGAACATGGACTGCTTCAGTGTCTGAGGAGTCACAAATGGTTCTGAACATTGTGCAATCATTGGTGAACACCCCCACTCTGACCTTATGATGGAGGGAAGGTCATTGACGAAGCAGCTGAAGATGGTTGGGCCTAGCACACTACCCTGAGGAACTCCTGCAGAGATGTCCTGGAGCTGAGATGATTGACCTCCCACAACCATGACCATCTTCCTATGTGTCAAGTATGACTCCAACCACTTGTGCATTTGCCCCCTGATACCCATTGATTCCAGTTTTGCCAGGGCTCCTTGATGCCACACTCGGTCGAATGCAGCCTTGATACCAAGGGCTGTCACTCTCACCTCACCTCTGGAATTCAGCTCTTTTGTCCATGTTTGAACCAAGACTGTAATGAGATCAGGAGCTGAGTGGCCCTGGTGGAACCCAAACTGAGCATCACTGAGCAGGTTATTTCTGAGCAGGTGCTGCTTGATAGCACTGTTGATGAAACCTTCCATCACTTTACTGATGATCGAGAGTAGACTGATGGGGCGCTATTGGACGGGTTGGATTTGTCCTGCTTTTTATGTACAGGACATACATGGGCAATTTTCCACATTGTTGGGTCGATACCAGTGTTGTAACTGTACTGGAACAGCTTGGCTAAGGGAGCGGCAAGTTTTGGAGCACCAGCCTTCAGTACTATTGCTGCAATGTTGTCCTTGCCTGAAGCCTTTGCAGTATCCAGTGTCTCCAACCGTTTCTTGATATCACGTGGAGTGAATCGAATTGGCTGAAGACTGATATCTGAAATGCTGGGGACCACTGGAGGAGGCCGAGATGGATCATCCACTTGGCACTTCTGGATGAAGATTGCTGCGAATACTTCAGCCTTATCTTTTGCTGGGCTCTTCCATCATTGAGGATGGGGATATTTGTGGAGCCGCCTTCTCCAGTGAGTTGTTTAATTGTCCACCACCATTCACGACTGGATGTGGCAGGACTGCAGAGCTTAGATCTGATCTGTTGGTTGTGGGATCATTTAGCTTTGTCTGTCACTTGCTGCTTTCGCTTTTTGGTGTGCAAGTTGTCCTGTTTGGTGGCTTCATCAGGTTGATACCTCATCTTCCGGGATGCCTGGTGCTGCTCCTGGCATGCCCTCCTGCACTCTTCATTGAACTAGGGTTGATCCCCTGGCTTGAATGTAATGGTTGAGTGGGACATATGCCAGGCGATGAGGTTACAGATTGTGCTGGAGTACAATTCTTCTGTTGTTGATGGCCCACAGCGCCTCATGGATGTCCATTCTTGAGTTGCTAGATCTGTGCGAAGCCTGTCCCATTTAGCACGGTGATAGTGCCACACAACACGATGGAGGCTGTTCTCAATGTGAAGGCGGGACTTTGTCTCCACAAAGACTGTGCGATGGTGACTCTTACCAATACTGTCATGGACAGATGCAACTGCAGCTGGCAGATTAGTAAGGATGAGGTCAAGTATGTTTTTCCCTCTTGTTGGTTCCCTCACCACCTGCCACAGACCCAGTCTAGCAGCTATGTCCTGTAGGATCCGACCAGCTCGATCACTAGTACTGCTGCCGAGCCACTCTTGGTGGTGGACATTGAAATCCCCCACCCAGAGTACATTTTGTGCCCTTGCCATCCTCAGTGCTTCCACTAAGTGTTGTTCAACATGGAGGAGAGACTGATTCATCAGCTGAAGGAGGACGGTATGTGCTAATCAGCAGGAGATTTCCTTGCCCATGTTTAACCTGAAGCCATGAGACTTCATGGGGTCCGGAGTCAATGTTGAGGACTCCGAGAGAAACTCCCTCCCGACAGTATCCCACTGTGCCGCCCCCTTTGCTGGGTCTTTCCTGCTGGTGAGATAGGACATATCCAGGGATGGTGATGGTGGTGTCTGGGACAATGTCTGTAAGGTGTGATTCTGTGAGTATGACTATGTCAGGCTGTTGCTTGACTTGTCTGTGAGACAGCTGTCCCATATTTTGGTATGAACCCCCAGATGTTAGTGAGGAGAACTTTGGAGGGTTGACAGGGCTCTTTCTGCCATTTTCTTTTCTAGTACCTAGGTCAATGCCAGGTGATCTGTCCAGTTTGATGTCTTTGAGTCTTTGTAGTGATTGGTACATCTGAATAGTTTGCTAGGCCATTTCAGAGGGCAGTTGAGAGTCAACCACATTGCTGTGGGTCTGGAGTCACATGTAGGCCAGATGCGGTGAGGGTGTCAGATTTCGTCCCCTGAAAGGCATTAGTGAACTGGATGGGTTTTTCCAACAATCGGCAATGATTTCATGGTGATCAGTAGTTTCTTAATTCCAGACTTTTTTTTTGGAATTCCAATTCCACCATCTGCCGTGATTTAAGTCCAGGACTAAGCTGGGAGTATCTTTAGAGGATTTTTGGTTTGATTGAAGTGAAAGAGGCAATATGTCTCCAAGACAACTAATTGGATAATCTTTGAAGAGCATTGGCTTAACCTTTCACAGAAATTCTTTCAACTTGTGCAGCTCAAAACCTGAATGTGGCTTATCTGAGACCATTGTTCTGGGAATGGACTTACCCTAGTGTTCACATCCTTGACAATTTTTTTACTAATGGTTTCCTCTTTCCTTTGTCAGGAGGCCCGGATGAGGAATGTGGAGCGGGATATTTGCATAAAATTGGATTGAAAAGGTCAAATCTGCTAGGACTATTTATCTTTATCGAGCCCTAAATGCTTAACTCCAACTACGGCTTGAGCAACTGTGTAATTATTGCAGTCTACAGATGGCAAGGCTTGCCCAAGAGTTTCAAATGGATGGTTGTGGTGGTGGTGGTTGGTAAACATTCAGTGGCCAATTTTTGAAGGGGGATAGCCGAAATCAAACTTTATTCCATTTAGATTTAATCACAAAGTAAAATGTCACAAGTGCTTGGTTCCTCACCTTGTTCAACATGCCATTGTCATTAGGTATCCTTTTATAAGTGTTCTAATAGTGAATGCCCTCCACTTAGTTATGACCACACCTGTGATAATACTGGTCAAGTCAGGTTCCAGTGTAAAAACTGGCTTGATAGACCATAACTTTTATTTTGGCAATTTGGTTACTATGATGATCAGGTACTGATCATATTTACATGAAATTGTTAATGTACTTTTAGCAAAAAGAAAATAAGTTTATTACACAAAAGAAAGATAATAAAGCTTTAACATGTATATATAAAAAGACAATTTAAAATGAACTTTTCTTAAACTGTAAAAAGAAAGATTTTACCCATTTTCCCAGCAATATTCTTTTCAGATACTAACTCCATTGAAGTATCACTCCTATCCTCACTATAACATTTCTAGTTTAACGGATGAAGTTGCAAATTTTCTTTTTACAGCTTTCAGCACTATCACCAGATGTGATTCTCTACATTACTATGTTTTCCCAAAACACAGTCATCCCAATCAACTGAATGACTTTCTCACTAAACTCTAAGCAATGGAGTCAAGGCTTTGACTATCTTTAAGTTGCTAAGCAGCACCTCTGCTTGTCTGGTTCTTTTCTTCTGATTTGCCATCTACTTTTGCTTTTTGATTCTCACTTTTGTAGCTTGTCAAAGCTGAAGTCAACAACAAGTAGCAATTATGCCATTAGATAGCTTGTTGAGTTATTTCCCTCAAGACACATAATTTCTTGGAAAGGCTGTGTTTCGGTCACTGTTCCAAATGACTTTCTGACCTTTCTTTAAAAACACAGGCCTTCGCTTCATTGAAAATTTAAAGAAAATCTTTTCACCTCTACTTTATAATCCAATGTCCTAAATACTAAATTATAAACCTACATCAAAACCTGTTTATTCTTACTGTTCATTTATATATCTAACAGGATGTTGATGAGGATCACTGCTTTCAGTTCAAAAGTTCAGTCCTGGTACTTATTCTCCACATAAACCTCCACACTAATCTCGATCTATTAGCATGTCAGTCTATTTCTTTCTCCCTCATGGACCTGTTGAGGTACTTGTGCATATCAAATTTTTCCCCCCCGGTCCTGGCTTGATTATGTTTTCATGGTGTAGATTTACCCACTCAAGCCGAGACAAGCTGAAATTCTGATCTTGCTATGTCCCCTTTGGAACACTTGGGTGTAGATGATACCTTGAATGGACATGATATTTAATAAGAAAAAGTCAAAATATCCTTAAAAAATTGCCTGAGTTGTATTTATTTTTAAAACTAGGTCACAATTTGGAGCCGATTTTCTGTTCACGATGTGAAACTATCTGTATGTGTGCAGTCTCCACTGGCAGTAACACAAGACCAACTTCGCTTTGCTGCCATAGGTAAGTGAATTTGCTGAGCAAGGCCCATCAATCCTGAATTACACTCACACTGAAAGCAGTTTAAATTGGAAGCTGTTGGCTTTGGATCTCAGTGATGTTTTTGTATTATGGAAAGTACTGAAAATGAATAGTCAAGTACCAGTATCTCTTCAAAATTTTGGGCTGGTGTTTATTTTGGTAAGGTTTCCATTATAATCGAAGCTGTTGATATAAAGTTAATTCCACAAAGCATGTTTATTTTTAATAAAGATCATTGTGACCATTTGGCACAACAAGATTACATCCCTTGGTTACATCCTTGTAACCTGCTATCTTATGATTCATTAGTGAGCAATAAATATATACTTCTAATTGTAAGTGACAAAGAGACCACCTATGGCAAGAAACTTGAGAAAATATCTAGAGATTTGTTGACATTTTCGAAATGTTAGTATTCCACTGGAACAATAAATTAAACATGGTTACGCTGTCCATCCCCAGATTAGTTTGTTCTGGCAAGTAATCAAAATCCACATTAGTAGGATATGATTTTTAATGACTGTTGTTTTGTATCCCTTTGCAGTTTTAGAGGGGAAAATAAACTGTTTTGTAGCTTACTAAAGAAATAAGGAATGATGTTGCATATTTTCACAGAATCTGGAACGTCAAGAGATGTAACATTGTCTGTTTTCCTAAAAGAAAACTTCCCACCTGCTGATCTAGGAGGAGATGCTGCTGTTTCCTATAGTATACCAACAGGTACCCATGATTTCTGTTTGTTTTATGTCAATGTGGATTTAATCCTGTCTAGTAATTGATCTCCTAACTGCCAGTCTTGAATTGCTGATTAGTACTGATTCTTTAATGATTGCTTACTTGTAAAATAAATTTAGATCAGATTGAAATTACAGCATCTGTAATGATGTAAATATTGATTTTTGTAATCTGTCATACTTGATTTCCTAAAGTACAGAAATTGGTAAATCATACACGCTCTGTTGAGTTTTAATTGAATATGTAAAGATAATTTACTGTAATTTTGAATTTGTTTAATGAGAGCAGACCTATAGTCTGCATTGCAAATTCTAGATTATAAAGAATGAGTAGATTCAGCTTCAGCAGAGTTCAGTGAGTTGCTGCATGTGAATGCAAGTACACTGTGATAGAAATTCTACTGCTGAAGAATCAGACCACGTTTAGAGAAACTGAGTTTGTATTTTGCAGGAAGTTTGTTATACATTTGCTCTACATGTTGTCTAGTATGCTGTGGATGCTTCCCCATCTTGGGAAACTTATAAAAGCTGAACCCACTCAAAAGTAGATGATGATAGCAATTGGAGATTACAACGATCTGGTCTGTTCTCTGATCTTGTGTTGTGAATGAATTCCTGCCTAGAAAGATTATAACCTAGAGTATTATATAATAAAGAGAAAAGGGTCAGTAGTCTGGAGTGGTAGTCTAGTATAAAATCTAGGCTATCTCTTCTTTTTCAGAAATGCATTATCTAATAAACCACCTCTACAGGAAGCATTGTGCACTTCCGCAATTGCTTGTGTCACTAGAATGGAGCAAATTTAATACAGTTTCTGAGAGATAAGGCAATCACCCTTGCTAATGCTTTTCAATGTTGCACAGAAAACTATTCTGTTTGATGGGGCAGCAAATCAATGACTTGTCTGTGTACTGCAGGGAAATTGTTGCTACTGTTTGTTTTCTCATCTTAAAACTTTCTGAAAGCCAAGGACCTGAAATTTTGTATGAGATAATGTTCTGACGTAGTTAACGTTGAAGCTTTTTTAAGCTCTTCCCAATTTCATGATGTCACACCGTCCTTGGCAGAGAAGGGACAGTCTGCAGAAGGTCCTAATGGACACAGAAGTGTGATCCCTGGCTGCTGATACTCTTTATAATTAAATGTAATATGCATATATTGCTATGATGCAGTAAACTACATCTTGTTATTGCAAAATAAGTGTCTCTTCTCATGAAGACTCAATAGTGGTTTATCCTGTAACACATTGGATAGCAGATGACCTGTGGTGATCATCTCAAGGTAACAGAAGTGCAACAAACAATCTATTTGACCCAAGGAAAAAATATTCAGAAGAAAAGTGAGTTTACCACTTGAAGAACATTGCTGCTTTACGAAGGCACAGACAGTCAGTCAGCAGCTAAAAGTGCATCAACAGACAAGCAGTCAGCAGTGCTTGTGGAAGCAGCAGCAGGGTGAATGCAGTACTCTGGAAGAAAGCCTTCACCTTAGAGCTGTTAACAGGTGCAGCAAAAACAAGGTGTAGGAAGAGAGTAAAAACTTGTCACACTGAGAAATTGGAGACCTTGCAGAAGAAGGATCTCTGGGGGCAGTTTGGAAATCTTTGAGTAAAGTTAAAAGTACTGATGGGCAAGGGGAGAAAACTTTAAATAAAGGCTCTAAGGGTGGGATGGGAAGGATAGAAGGGAACAGGCATACCTTGAATTATAATTAGAATTAGCTTTATTGTCACATGTACTCAAATAAGTACAGTGAGAAGTGTACAAGTCGCTGCTTATGGCACCATCTTAGGTACAATGGTCCATAGGTACGGCTAGTAAAATGTCCAGCATTGCAGATTTCAGGAATAAATTATAAAATGGAGAAAAAAATAAAGTTCGGAACAACAGTCTTCCGACCTAGTCCATGCTGGCACTTAGCCTCTAATCTGCACTGGGCCTTGACTTCAATCCATGCTGGGCTTCCCCTCAGGGTTCACGAGGCTGGGAGTTCACTCTGGAATCATCTCGAGACCGAAAGTTCATGCTGACACCATACCAGGCTGAGAGACCGCCATGTATCGCTCGCTGGAAGACCACCACACTGGGCCGAGAGACCATCATGCTGGTCTGAGAGACCATCATGCTGTACTGAGAGACCGTCACACTGGGCTGCTGGGAGGTCGCACGACGTGCCGAGACACTGCCATGTCAGGTCAAGAGGACTTCATGCAAGCCCAAGAGACCACCTTGCTGGGCCGGGAGGCCGCCACACCCGGCTGCTACACCAGGCCAAGAGTACACCTCATTGGATCTGCGCGAGGCCGGGAGACAAGGAGGTGAGAGGCTGGGAGGTCCAAGGCTGCGAGGCACCAAGGTCTGAGGCCGGGGGTTCTTCAATCGGGAGGTCTGAGGCTGTGAGGCTGTGAGGCTGGAGACTGAGAAGAGGAGAAATAAAAGATAAAACAGTTAAAAAAAGAGAAAAAAACAAAGGAATGGCCGGAGCGGATGAGCTCCGGCTGAAGCGTCGTCCTACTTCGCCGCCATCTTGGATCTTCAAAACAAGTGTTGCTGCCATCATGGGCAGGTTCCATGAGGCACGATTACCTGAGACAGAACAAGGGCCACAAAATTAATCTATGCTGAGGCCACTGTATCATTAAATTATAATTACAGAAAAAAGATTTTGAATACAGAGTCTAATGGAAAAAAATAGAAGAATTTAAAGACTGTGACAAGAGTGGAGTGTTCACAATTTAAACTACAATTATGGATGAAAGATTTATTAAGGCCATAACCACAAAATTTGACAACATCTCTGCAGGACTTCCTCAGGGTAATGTCTTAGGTCCAACCATCTTCAGCTGCTTCATCAATGACCTTCCCTCCATCATAATGCCAGAACAATATCCAGGCTTAGGTTGACAATTGCGAGTAACATTTACGTCACACAAGTGCCAGGCAATTACCATCTTCAGCAAGACCAAATCTACCATCATTCCCTAACATCCATAGAAGCACAGAACATAGGGGCAGGAGTATGCCATTCAGCCCTTTGCCTGCTCCACTGTTCAATATGATCACAGCTGATCATCCAACTCAGAAACCTGTTCTTACTTTCTCCCCATTTACTTTGATCCCTTTAGCCCTAAGAACTAGATCTAGCTCTTGAAAACATTCATTGTTTTGGCCTCAACTACTTTCTGTGGCAGTGAATTCAATAGGCTCGCCACTGTCTGGATGAATTTTTTTTTCTCATCTCTGTTCTAAATAGCTTACCCTATATCCTTAGATTGTGACCCATGGTTCTGGACTTCTCAAGAAACCATCAGGAACATCCTTCCTACATTTACCCTACCTAGTCATTTTAGAATTTTATAGGTTTCTATGTGAACCCCCTCAGTCTTCTAAGTGACATTACTGTCACTGCATTGTCCACTTTTAACACCAGAATTCCTATCAGACATAATTGTTCTTGGAGTTATTGATGAGTCTTTTGTCAGACCTGTTACAACCCATAGAAGATTTGATTTTGGTGAAAGCTATTGAAATTGTGCTGGAAGCGGGAACCACAAGGACTTTCAGACAAATCCTGAAAGGAGAAGTGCAACTATGTCATAGGAGAAGAACTGAACTTATCTGTTTTATAAAGACAAAACTCTCGAGAAACATGTGACAAGCCACAATAAAGAGCAGGCTCAAAAGCAGATACTAAGAATTGGTGGCAGTGCTGTGAAACAGAGAAAGCCTCATAAATACAAGCAATGTCAGATTATGACAAAAGACTGCTGCATCTGTAAAACCAGAACTTCCAGAAGAAGTGAAGAATTGGGATGCAGTATCAGAGCACTAAAAAGTCAAATGCTTACAGGTGCAAAGAGATTAATGTGGTAGAACCTCTTCCTTTAGAGTTGAAATTTGCATTACACAGTATATTGGGGGCATTCCTTGGGGAAATTGGTGATCCACCTGATTCGACTTTGACTTGTGCATTTCAATGGATATCCTGTTAATTTTAAGATTAATACAGGTGCGAGTGTCTCTGTCCAATCAGATCTGGCTGAAGGAACAGAAATTATAGCCTATGTAGTCAAAACTACAGGTAGAATGACAGTCTTGAGTGTCAAGAGTGTCATTCAAAAGGTTCTACAAATAATACTGAAAAATAAAAAGGGTAAAAGACTTGAAAATGTTCATGTAATTTGCAATCAACAATTTGGCTGATCCCAAGATTCCAATTCAGAAACAAACTATTGTTGTCCAATTGTCCAATTGGAGCAGCCAGTAAAAGTTTCATTGGGCTTAGTAGACTCAAGGCAAAACCCAAAAAGAAAAAAGAATTATTTGAAATTTCCTTTGTTGGCATAGAAAAGTTGTGTTGTACAGCCAATTGGAAGGAATTTGAAGACTTTTCAAGATTAGTAGAAATCTTTTCTGAAGATAACAACAATCAGCAAAGATTTCTAGTGGAAATAAATACTGAGAACAAGAACCAGCAGCTCAACTTCCTTTAGCTCATTGAGGAATTTTTAACTGAAGACCAATGTATACAAATTCAGGACACAGTCAAAAAGAAGAAATGCTTGGTTTGAAAATCCAGGTTAGCAAGGATGTAAATGCTTGTTCCAACAGGGCATCCATCTTTCATAATTGCAATTCAAGAGACTAAGGGTCTTCCAGATGAGGAAATAGACCAATTATTATGTTTAACAGGAACATGCTCCTGTGTGAAGGCATCCAAGGAACCCATCACGAGCCGCTGAGAGACCCACCACGAGCCACCAAGAGACCCACCACAAGCTGCTGAGAGACCCACCACGAGCCACTGAGAGACCAGGCCAGGACCTGCCACAAGCTGTGAGAGACCCACCACGAGCCGCCGAGAGACTAGGCTGAGAGCCGTGATAGACCAGGCTGGGACCCACCAACAGCCACCGAGAGACCAAACCAAGACCCACCACAAGCCGCGAGAGTCCGGGCTGGGACCCATCATGAGTCACCGAGAATC